GCTCCCGGACGGGCCCGCCTCGCCCGTCCGCGCCTCTCTCTCTGTCCCTGCCGAGCGCCGCTCGCTCGCTGGTTCGCTCGGAGCCCCTGAGCTCTGCCCGAGATGAGTCACTACAATGGCACGAGTTCAACTCCACACTCTTTATTATCCAGCCCCTATACCATGTGGATTCACTCACGTCAACCCGACTCCACCTCGCAGGGAGGAGCGCACGAGGAGGCGGGGGCAGGGGCCGAGGAGGAGGCGGAGGAGGAGGAAGAGGCTCCGGAGGAAGGGGACGAGGCGGGCGCAGCGCTCCTCCCCGCGCCCCGCTCCCGGCCGCGCTGACGCCAGCCGCACACCCCGCGCGAGGAAGGAAGGCGGTGGCCGGGGTGGGAGCGGGAGGGCCGCGTGGTTTCGGGGAGCCGAGGCAGGCCTGGCCGTTCCGCACCCCCCGGGCCCAGCGCCCTTGGTCTGTTCCATTGGCGCACGTTGCCAAAGATGGTCATTTGCGTTAGAGGACGCGAGTGCGGGTTTCCTCGCTCTCGGGTGACGTGGAGGGAGGGATTCCCTCGCTCGCTCCCGAGCGCGCCGTGGCCTCCATCCCCTGCTCTCACCCCGCCGCTGGAAGGGGCGCGAGCCCGGGCTCCGAGTTTTAGGAAATAATCCCAGTCCTGAAGACAGGACCCGCGGTTCAGTGCGGCGCCACCGCGAGGCCGGGAGCCCGGCACGCAGAGCCGCTCGCAGGGAGGGCGCGGCCGTGCGCGGTCGTCTGGCCCTCAGCGGCGCCGCCCGTTGCAGCGGGAGCCCTGGGCGCGAAGGGTCCCCGCGCCGCCCTGCGGCCGGCCCTGGGGCTGGCCTGCCTATTTTGCTCTCCGTGGCGTGCTGCCCACTGTCCCCCACCCCCCCTTTTAAACTCCTGTCCTGCAATTAAATTGTTAGGAGTAGCCTTGAAGAAATGAACCAGTCAAGACATTCTGGCCGCCCTCTATACCGGGCAATTAGGACTCATCTAATAGGAGTAATACGGCATCATAAGCAAAGTCCAGACTGCTAAAGAATTTAAAACAAAACAAAACAAAAACAGGGAAAGAGGGAGGCCAGCGAGAGGGTGTGCCCAGTGTTGTCTTCAGCTGTTCTGGAGCGAAGTTCGGGGCGCGGGTAGTCGGACTCCTGGGTCTTCCCACCTCGCGGGGAGGGGCGCGGGGTAAAGAGCACAGGCCTGGGAGTGCGAACGCCAGGCTATGCTATTTACGAGCTGTGAGATCTTGGGCGAGTCCCTTAACCTCTCTGGGCCTCAGTGTCCTCCTATAAAATTAAGGGGTTGGGACAGATGATCTTCTAAGTCCCTTGTTCGCTCTTGAGCTCCAATCCTGCAGATATGATGTGGTGTGACCGGAGGAGCACTGTACTAGGAGTCAAGGAACTTAGGTTCTGGAAAGGGTCTGCCTCAGCTTCAGTTTACCCAACTCTTAAGTAGCGCCATCTGTACCCCACAGGATCCTTATGAAGACCGAATGGGAAGATGTGTTGTTGAGAGTCCATTCTGGACCGTGAAGCGCTGTGCACCGTAACACATCACAGTTCCGGTCCTCAGTTTCCTTATCTGTAAGGTGGGGGTGTTGTTAAGAAAGAAAAATAGAGCCGGGAACTCGAAGCTTTCCCGGGGCTCTATATAAAGCGCTGGCGTTTCCGGGACGGCTGGCGGCATCTGGCCGCCCCAAGGGCCCCAAGATACGGTAATCCCAAACAATACTCGGGGTCATTGTTTACAGCTATAAAACACATTCTGTCCTGAGCTCCATCCCCAAGGACGCGAGCGCGCGCGGCCAGGCGCGGCCCGCCCGACTTCTCGCGCCTCCGCCGCTGCGCGTCGGGCAGAGTCTCCGACTCCGCGGGCCAGGAGGGGTGTGGGGCTGACGGGCGCGCGCACCAGCACTGGGTTGCTTGGCTTTTTTTTTTTCTCATCCCTGCGTCCTGGACTGTCTGGGTGTTTACGCGCCTCTCCCAGCAGGACTGAGTAAATGCAGTCCTTTGACGCAAAACGGATCAGCTCTTCCCCAGCGGCAGAAGCAAAACCCAGAAAACTGGGGGTGGGGACGGGAGGGGCGCTTGAGATGAAATCGTGACACTTTTCCACTCGCCTCTCAGCCTAGCGAGGTTTCGGGGGGCTGCAAAGGAAGGCGCGGCCGGGGCGCCCAAGGCCCTCCCCGGAGCCACTGCGTGTCAGAGCGGCGCGAACGCACGCACTTTTGGTTTTCTTTTGAGCAGCGGCGGCCCGGCCCTCCCCCACCTTGCACTCGAAAATCCGTGTGCTTGTGGGTCTCTCCCACACAGTCCTTCCAGTAACGCTGGAAGGAGGAGGAGGGGGAAAGGGAGCGGGAGCTTCCTCCGCAGCCTCCGCCATCCCGGGCGCGCCCAGCCCCAGGCAGGCGCCGCCGGGAGCGCGCGGCCCGAAGAGCGCACCCTCGCGCCCTCGCCCGCCCCCGCCCTGCCCGCTCCCCAGTCCTTTCCTTTCTTGTGGGTTCCCGTAAAGCCCAGCAGCCCCGAGACGTCTGCAGAGCATCACGGAATCTGTGCTGATGCAAGTCGCTGGTCTCCCTTTGGTGCGCCCTGGCCTGCCTTAGAGCACTTTGATCCCGGCCTTCCCCTGTTCCAGAGCTTGTGCTGGCTCCCTCTGCCCGCCGGGAGGCCTGCGTTATGCGGCCTGCCCTCACCTTTCAGTACTCTGAGCGCCCGACACACGCAGCTGCGCCCTGGTGCTGCCACGGGACTGGCCTCCCCGGGTCTGGCTGGTGCCCTGGCCGAACTGTGTCCGCCAAACAGAATCAGCCTTCAAACCCAGTTGTGTCCTCTCCGTGCGATATCATTCCAAGGTCACCCGGCTAGAAAGGGTCCTCTGGCTTTCTGGAATGCTAAGAATGGAGGCGCACCTTTATTGAGCACTTAACCAGAGTCAGGCATCATGCTGAATACAGGGGTTGTCTCATGTAATCCTCACAACCAGTTTTTGAGGTGGGTATTATTTCCTGGTTGTAGTTGAAGAAAATCAGATTGGTTAGTGGGTTAGTGACTAGTTGGGAGTGCGGCTGAGCTTCTCTGACCCCAGGCTCTTTCTCTTACCCCGGACATGGCATTACCTGCCTCCTACTGGAATTTCTTTGTTTCTCTCTTACTGGCCTTCATCTGGTGCATGGCTTTATCCTACACTTAGAGTTTCTGCTGAAGAAATAAACAGCCCCAGCACCTTCATTCAGCTTACATTAGAGGTCATGTCAAGTGAGGGAAGGGGAGGAGGTAAGCTGGGGAGCAAAGAAGGTAGGGCTGTCTTCTCATTGCCGTTCTGGGTCTCTGGGACCTCTCTGTCCACCTTTGCCAGTTTCCATGTTTGGCCCCTCCCTCTGCTCCCTCTGGGCCGCCCTGGCCCACACGGCTGAGCACTGGACAGCTTAGGAAGCCCTTTCACATACGCGGCCTCACTTGTCCTAACACACTACATCCCTGCAAGGGATGTGGGCAGCAGTCAGGGTGACCCTGGATTGTCAAGCAGGAGGCCAAGGAACAGAGTGGCAGAGCAGCCTACTCAAGATTTCCCAGCCTGTAGGTGCCAGAGCCTGAATTTAAAGCCATCTCACCTAACTGTAAACCCAGTGCTCTGCCCTTTCTTATGTTTCCAACCTTGGAATGTTGGGAGCAAAGTCCATTTCTTAGTGATCAACTATCCTCTCTATCCATCATGCCTGAATGAATCTGCCATCATTTCTTTATAATAAACCACGTTTTGATGATTTTTTTTTAACATTTCTGAAAGCCAGATGCACCTTACAATGGATGACTCTTTAATATGGAAGTGTTTCCATTTATCTAAAGACCTATGAATCAGTCAGGGGTCCATCAGGAAACAGAAATCAACCCAGATGGTTCAAAGGAAGAGGCTTTAATCGAGAAGTTCCTTATGGAGGTGTGGGCAGTGTTAAGGACAGCTAAGGAACTTGAGGCACCTAGAGCCTAGTAACAACTGGGAACTTTGACCACCCCTGGGGTTGAAAAGGGGAAGAACAGTGTCATTGGAGCCTAGTGACTGTCTGGACTATGAAAGAGGGACCATCCTACAGGTAGAGAAGCATCTACTGCCAGAGATAGTGTGCTGAATGAAGGGGGCTGGGGCAGGGGGAGGAGTTGGGGGAAGAAATACCAGACCCATCTCTCCCACCTCCTGCCCCATCTCTGGCCAAAGGGCGGGGGGGGGGGGGGGGGGCCC